CCCCCTGGACCTGGGGGACATCCTGGTACCAACTGGACCCACTGTGCTGCACTTACCATGCTTGTGTAACTTACTGGCTTCCAGTCACCCTGATAACATGAGGCATGAAGCTACTAAGATGGGGCTCCATAACATTCACTCCATGCAGTCTGGATTAAATCTTCCAGAAATTCTGGGCCCGAATCTTCAGAACAAGCACAGGCCAATCTGACACCAATGCAGGAATACCAAATCAAAAGAATACAGCTGGGAAACCTGCCCTGCAACCACACTCTCAAACTACCAACCAATCACCTGGGTCAAGAGCCTCTCAAGGCACAAATTCGAAGCACCAACTACAACACCTGCTCCCAAGTACACCCTAGAAGAGGTAAGGACTTGGACACTGAAAGAGCCCAAGACCAGGGGCCACAGGTGCTGGCCCTCACACAAGCTCAGGGCTGGAGAAGAGACCCACTTTGGTGCTGCCCTGTGCCTGTTTTTCTGAACTCCCCAGCACCGACCTTAGTTTTGCCATCAGTGGGGATCAGGTGACCTGGGCATTGAGACTGCTACCAAGGCTGCTGGCGGAGACCATGTGATTAATAATGCATAATCAGCCACTACTAGTATACTCCACATTCTTACTTTTCTCTACTCCTATATCTTTCTTAGATAGTGCAGGAGTGTGCTAATTAATGGGGCCCCATTGGATTACTCCAGTTGTAGTTAATTACCCCTCATGAATAATATCTCGACTTACCCTCATGTCTGGCAAAATTAGATAATGATTTTGATATCATCAGTGAAAGTACAGTTTTTGTGTGAAAAAAATAAAATATATGTCAGCACTAACTTTGGCAGTGTTTGTTATTAAGTGGTTGAATGTTGAATAACCTGTGTTGCATACTTTTGCAAGTAGCATGCCATGATGGTGGTCATTTTCATTCCTGGGCTGCTATATGGTGTCAAAGGCAACATAATCAATCTGGCAAATCTTAATGTGTAAAAATGTAAATTGGAAAGCCCTATACTTGACCCTGTAACTTCCTCAAACCCCTCAAATTGCCTCTGCACTTTAGAGTTCAAGGGGTTAATATTCTAGATGTTTACAATTCATTGCTTACAATACACATGTGTAAACAATACAAAAAAAATATGTTTACATTGCTGATTTGAATGGGTTTCACATAAAACATGATGAGTATTTAACCACAATGTATGATAAATCAACATTTCTATTTATTCAGACTGTGGCTTTTACTGAGTTGAGTTTAGGGTGCAGATATATAAACTGTAACCCCATTGTGAGATAATTTGTTTATTTACCATAGGGTTTAGAAAAAATGTTGTCGAACATCAAACCAATTGTAGTATAAAATTCAGATATTTTGCCAATCAAATGTAACATTCTAGCTTTTTTAATTTGGCAAAATCTGTGTATTATTTTTGATAAGATGAAAGAATTCAAAAAGGTGGAGGTGTATTGAATTCAAAAAGGTGAGGAGGTTAATTGTATTGAAATAATTGCCCTAACCTAAATCAACAGTTTGCTTTTGATATCTTGTTTGTGTTTTTCAAAGAAGGGTTCAGAAAAAGAATTTAGAAAAAAATATTTTTAGAACTAAGTGGAAAGTAAATGCAGACACTATTAAAGCTGAAATTGAAATGGCCAGTTTAATGGGATATGCATCACTTGACAATTTGTTTTTAAACCAGAAAAAAATACTAAATGTGTTTGAAAATAAATATTTTAAAAGTATCTAATACTTGTTTATAAACATAATATAAACACACTTTTGACACTGTTGCACATAGAAGGCTTATCAATAAACTGCAATCTTTAAGTTTGGATTCCAATAATGTTGTAGTCAATGGAATATATTCGAAGCTTGGACTTGTCACCAGTGGGGTACCTCAGGGATCTGTACTTGGACCCATTCTCTTTAATATTTTTATTAGTGATATTGCAGAAGGTCTTGATGGTAAGGTATGTCTTTTTGCTGTTGATACTAAGATATGTAACAGGGTTGATGTTCCAGGAGGGATAAGCCAAATGGCAAATGATTTAGGTAAACTAGAAAAATGGTCAGAATTGTGGCAACTGACATTTAATGTGGATAAGTGCAAGATAATGCATCTTGGACGTAAAAACCCAAGGGCAGAGTACAGAATATTTGATAGAGTCCTAACCTCAACATATGAGGAAAGGGATTTAGGGGTGATTATTTCTGATGACTTAAAGGTAGGCAGACAATGTAATAGAGCAGCAGGAAATGCTAGCAAAATGCTTGGTTGTATAGGGAGAGGCATTAGCAGTAGAAAGAGGGAAGTGCTCATGCCATTGTACAGAACACTGGTGAGACTTCACTTGGAGTATTGTACACAGTACTGGAGACCATATCTCCATATCTTCAGAAGTATATTGATACTTTAGATAGAGTTCAGAGAAGGGCTACTAAACTGGTTCATGGATTGCAGGATAAAACTTACCTGGAAAGGTTAAAGGATCTTAACATGTATAGCTTGGGGGAAAGACCTTGTTGGGGACAGGGACACAAACTTACAAACTAATAATAACACATTTACAATGTAAGGCACTCCCACACACAGCTTGGGAGATAATTGGATCAGTAACTTGACTAATTATAATCCAATTATCTCCAAGCACAGAAAAAAACATACATTTCTAAAAAGTACCCCAAAACACAAGATCTCCCCATATCATGTGTTTAAAGAAAAGAAAAACTCCAATACTTTTTTTTAAATTCAGA